GGGCTGAGCGGCGGCGGGGGGATGTGGTCTGACAGGGTGGAGTAGGTCAAGGAGCTCCCTTCATCACTGCTGCTGATGTACTCGCTGGTGCTGCTGACATCGTTGGTGACATAGCTGCCCTGGTCATCATGGAAACTCATCTAGGTGAGGAAAGAGAAGGGAGGCTGAAGCAGGAGAAAAGCCCTTACTGCCAGCCACAGGGCAAGGTATGTCCAACTGCAACAAACAGCAGCCAGCCATTTGACTGTGAGAGAGTCCTGCCCTCCCTCGGCATGCCTGGATGGGCAGCCCTCTCCTCCCTCCAGCTGCTCATGGCCCATCTCACTCCGCAACCTGCACAAAGCCCCAGGACATGTCCCCGAAGGCTCTGCACCATACTCAGGGCAGGCAGCCCCAGGCTGGCACAGCAAGGACTAACACAGGTTCACCCCATGGCCAGGATGGACAGAGAGGACCATGCACTGAGCCACCCCCAATGCCATGCTCACCTCCTCATAATCGTTCTCAGGGGTAAGGAAATCATCCACAATGGTGACCCTGTGTCCCAGCTGCTCACTGAGGGCATCCAGGAACCGATCCGTGTCCCGGCTGCGTGGAGGCCTGGAGAAGGTGAAGAGCTTCTTCCGTCGTGACAGAGGGCTGAGCGAATAATCCCCATGCTTAGGGGACGGAGCTGGGCTGCTGTCAAGGCTGACGTACGGGTTGGACTCGGTGCTGCTTGGGGACGGGATGCTGCTGTGCAGGTGGTAGTAGCACTGTTGGGAGGGCCGACGGTCACTGTGCCATGAGATCGACAGCCCTGACTTCCGAGCACCTGTGGGGACACAAAGCAGTGCAGAACGGGGTCCTCCCTGTCTGGTGGCACTGAAGTAGCAGGTGCTCCCTGGAGCTCTCCCATCTGTGAGCAGCAAAGAGCTCCAGCACTGTGCTGAATGTGGCAGAGTGACCTTGAGATAAAGATGCAGCCTGCAGAGAAGAGGGATCTCTCTGGGCAATTCCCTGCACTGCACCAAGCAGAGGCTGCTCAGCTCACTCTGGACCCTGGAGCTGGGGATCATATAGCATTTGGTTATTCCACACACTGTGCTGCCTTTCTGAAGCTGAAGCTTTGCAGGGGCTATCAATGGACTTATACGTGGCACTTTTATTGCTTTGATATAGAAAGGTACCAAGAGAAAGACATCTTATCCTCAGTCTGCCTGTCCAGCATGACCCACCATTGTATCAGCAAAAATAAAAATAAAAATAAACTGCCTCTCCCAAAAGCAGTGGGAAAATGGACTGTACCTGCAGCATATGCTTTGTCTGGTGCAGGCGGTGATGCCCTGTGCAGAGCAGCATTACCCATCTTTCCAGCAAAGCTGCCAATCAGGCGGTTTTCTAATTCTGCATAGACAGCAGACATCTGAAAAAAAGATAAAGAGCTGCTTTCAGTGTCTGGCTCTAGAAATGTATTGCAAAGTTCTCAGAGACCTGGGATGTCCTGGAGGCAGGCTGTACATCCATCACTGACCCCTGTCAGCACCCGTTCTTTTATTTTTAAAAAACCTGCCTCACACAAAACCAAGGCTACTTCCCATTTTCTGAAGTTTTCCAAGAGCCTTTCACTCACGAGGCTGCCAGAAGACAATGCCAGATACTAGCATTATTACAGTTAATTCATTGCCCAGGTAATATTTCAGAGAAGAGCTCCAGGGAAAGGATCTTGTCAGATATGGAAAGCAGATATTTACATGCAGACACATCCTACATGCATTCCCTTGTTTATCTGCTTTCCTGTGTTAACATAAAAGAGAGTCAAATTGCTCAGCCTCCCTGTGAAAGCAGAGGTCCCACATTCATCAGGCGAGGTGCTCTTAGAGATGTCTCTCCCTCCCAGCCCCTGTGAAGACCGACACAGCCCTGGGGAGAGCATGGCTGCATGGGAAAACAACTGAAGTTCACACCATTTTTGGGTTGGGAGTTTCTGGGAGGGATGTGCCATCACCAGCTTGTCTCTCTCCAGGGATCAGCCGAACTGGGACCTCCACGGTGTCGCTCTGGCCTGCCAGGGAAGGAAGAGACAAACCAGTCAGGAGCCCTGTGGGAGCACCCTCGGATTCTACATGTGCCTCCTGCAGCCTCTCAGGACTCACAAGTCCTGATCCATAAAGGTAATGCCATCAGCTGCTTGGGCCCAGATCTATTCCTCACTTCACCTGAGCGTGCAGCACAGCACTGTAACCTCCAAGGTCGGATGTGTCCTGAATGAATGACACGAGGAGGCCCGGCTGCCCACTCTGTGGGGGTACGTGTGAAACAAATACAGAAATATTTTAATTTGGACTTAACCGAGAGGCAGCAGAAGTCAGCCAAGCAACAAAATATGGCGTATGCTAGAAAACAGGCACGGCTGAGACAAAATCTCCTGTGGCTTGCCCTTTACTTCTCTGTATTCAGTTTCTTCCTCTATAAAATGAGAATGTTGTTTATTGCTCAGTCTACCCAATTGGTAGATTTGTGAAGCTTCCTTTAAGTCCTTAACATCTGAGCAGTGCTGTGATTACACAGTGTTTAATGATGTACTTTACTAGTGTCACACGGACGGACAGTGCCAAGTGAGTGTTTCTACCGGAATATTAAAGGTAAGAGAAATTATCTAATTCATATTTAGGGGTTTGCACTATATAGACAACTCTCCAGGTATCAAGACATTTCAGTGCCATAGGTTTTTCTTTTTTCTTGGCTGCTTTTCCTTCAACCTCCCTGATATGTGCTGGACACTAGGGCAGTCACAGTCACCACACATTAAAGTCAAGATCACAGTTTCTAAAACCTGGTTCTCCCAGACGCAGACACCTGGGCAATGCTGGTCCCGTGCCTGGAGCCTTGGCAGCACAGAGGGAGCCTGAGATGAGGCTCAGCAGGGATGGGAGGAGGGGAAGGAGATCGAAACCCCAGCTAGAGCTCAGGTAAGTTCACTTGGAGTTCAGCTGACTAGACCAAATTAAACCCTGCTTTTCCACAGTTACATCTGTGGAGAGTTTGTGTTCAGAGGTTAATTAGTTTGAGGCAGATCAAGTTCTCACAGAGAAGTGTTCAAGACCCCTGATTTATTTAGAAGGGTGTACAAATGACTGCTGGGAAGAAGCAGTTTTTAATTCCTGCCTTTTTCAAACTGTTGGAGAGCAGATGGAATAGATCTACGTTTCCTTTCAGCTACAATATTTTTATCTCAACAGTCAGGGCCAGGTTCAATACTGTTGCAAGCAAACAGATCTTCAGAGAACACAGTGAAGCAGCTCCCACTTGCACTAAGGTTGAAGTGGACCCATTTGCTCAGAGTGCAACTCTTAATGGCCAAAAAGAAAGAACAGCTCAGGACTGACGTCTTGGCACTAATGAAAAAGGACTCTGGAGCATGGCTGTCATCCTGCTGCTAACAGAGCTGCTGTCCCAGAAAGCTTGTCATAAACACAGAGGTTCACTTGCAGCCATTTCCACAGATCACCTCCATCTTCTTGACAAAATAATGTTATTTGAATTTTTTAAACAAATGGTTTATGCAGGAAAGTGAATTAGAACCATCCTGAATAGGATGCAGTTCAGTGCCTTGTCAGGCGTGGTGCTGCTTCATTCAAATTATTATTAGCACAACAGGTCAAGGTCTGCTCTGATTTTTCCGCAGGGCAGCTGAGGACAACACTGCTCCTCGCCACCCACAGCTGGTGAGCATCTGTCTGGGGCAAAAGGCTTCCCTCTGGCTTATGTAGCTGTCTGGGATTCTCCCTGGTGTAATCAGGAACCAGAAATCCTCCTCAGAGGCAGGTTAGAGGATTTTTCCCTGGGGAAAATCCCCTGCTCTGACAGCAGCCCTCCCCGACAGTTCAGTGATACCCAGCTCCCTGGTAGGGGTGACATGTCTGCCTAAGAGCATGGAGGTTGGCTCTTAAACTCTGCTGCCCTCCATGCAGCTCTTGTGTTGGAGGAATGTTGCTGGTCACAGTGGGGGAGGTCATGTTCAGAAGTAAAAGCAATCACAGGTTGAGTGCCCTTTGCAATCAGTGCCAACTAGGATGATGGAGTTATAGGCAGGGTGCCATGCCCAGCCATCTGGGAGAGGAGGATAGAGACCTGACGATTGAAAATATAACCAGCAACACGGGCTTTGTTGGGAGGAGAGGTTTAGAGATCCGAGGGGTCTGGGAAGAAGCCCTGCAGCAATATTAGAAGGATAGGATTTTCCGATGGATGGGGAGATATGGGGCTTACTCTGAAAAGAGGGAAGGTTTGGCCGTGAATGAGTTTCACCAGGTTGCTCAAAGCGCTACTGAACCATGATCTCTTTCAGAACCAGCCTTTTTCTTCTTCATGTGGATTTCACAAATACAGTTTTAACTCTGTATTTGGTGGTGTTCAAGACAGTGTTCTCGCTCCATAGGGAAGCGAGAAACTCTGCACCCTAGAACTGAGGGCTCAGACCTGCAGGAGTTGAGCTACATTTATAACACTAAGGTGAAGCTCATCATTGGAGGGACGGTGAGGGGAAATGGCCAGAATAATTTAGATTACTGCTAATTCCTTGCAATTCTTTTCTGAGAAATGGAAGGGATTGGAAACAGTGTACAGCCATAGCCCAAGCAGCTTCAAATTTCAACTGTTTCTGAAAACATGGCTTTCTAGCCAAAGACTCTGAGCTCACTCAATGCTGACTTGCATCTTTTGCCACCCTTCACACTCAGCAGTTGGGCAGGATTTCAACTTGGGGCAGAGCAGAAGTACGGAAGTACAGTACAGGAACAGCCACCAGGACCCCCAACTCCCTCCTTCCCTCAGAGGGAATCCTTGTACAGTCCTGAAATACCCACCTGCTGCTCCCCCTTCCTCAGGGCGTGGGGTTCGAAGGCTTCCCCGACACAAGGAGGCCGCTCGGACAGAACTGCGATGGCGTTCTTCTGCTTCTGGCTCAGCTGCAATGGAAAAGATGCTTTGTAAGTCACGGGCCTGTCTGCACAAGACACAGCAGCTTCCACTGTTACTCCTCACCATTGCCCGGGGCTACCCCAGGACAGCCGGACTTGCAGCTGCTCTATAAGCCCCGCATCAAAGAGCATGACCCCAGCATGGTCTGGGCCACTACTTCATGGTGGCCCAGCCTCACCAGTGCTGCTGCTGGCAGAAGCAGTCCTACCTGCCCCAGCTGTTAGCTGTTCAACCCCGTCCCCATGTGGACACCACCCTGAGCTGGATAGCTAAGCAGATTACAACCAGTCACCATGTGACCATACAAATAACTCCTGCCAGCACAGAGCAGGGGGAGGATGGATGCCCAAAGATGGGGGAAGCGCAATTGTTCCTTTTTGCAGCAGCACTGTTGTCCACCAGCTTATTCTGTACATGAAACTCCAGCCCTGAGCTAGGCTGGTCCAGAGGGATCCACCTAACTCCTCCTTCCTGCCCTCAAGGGTTTAAGATGGGAGTGCAAAGCAGCACTAAAATGCTGCCTGGAATAACCACATTCTCAAATCAAGTAGTCTGTGCTGTAGTTCAGTGTGACAACTGAGAGAGGCTTAAACTTACAGCAGAACGAAGACACCAGAGTATCAGTCTTCATGGTATCAAACAGACCAGTGCTTAGACAGCTCGATACACAGAAACATCAGAGATAGTCACTGAGTTTGGAATAAGCCCAAATGAAGCGCTAACCCAAATTCAGAGATCTCTGGCCATCACACTTCCAAACACATAATGCACCAAAACATTCAGAACTTCAAATGGTCAAAGATTGCCTTTTTCACACGTGGGAGCACCTGAGAAGCTGCAAGGAGTCAGGGACCAACATGCAAACCAGAGACAACAGTCTCTCTCTGAAACAATGTGGTCCTGGAAGGTTTACTCCAACGCTCTCCTCCTCTGGAAATGGTTGGGGGTACCTACTTTTTATTTCCAAAACACAACTGCAAACTGAAAATGTACGAAATTCCTTCTGAGATCTTTTGATGTTTATAACTTAATTTTAGGGTCTAAGTTGTTGGGGATATATACAAATGTCTGTACATTTGGCCATTATTCTGTACACACAACAGCAGGGATAATTAAGACTACAAATGAGGTGAGCAAATACATAGTAATTTCCCATGCACAATATGGGATACTTGCACCAGGACTACAAGAGTTGCTTCTCCCTGTGAGGGGAAAGACTATGTTAAAATAACTGTGTTCCTCAAAAAGCATCTCTTCAAATAACATCTCTTTCATACAGTTTTACCTATGTTGAATCTAAAAGAAACACACTAACAGAATGTAAATAGTTTAGAATAGAGGAATTTCAAAGTAATTAAGAAGCCCAAATCCAAAGATGAAAACCTTTCATTTCAAATTTGCCCTCCACTTTTTTGCTGTCTAAATGCAAAGCCCATAATCCTCATCAAACCACAGCTGGTTTGTATGTCAGCACAGCAACAACTAATGGTAGTAAGAAAGGGAGGTAGACCACAGACTTCCTCACCGTGAGAGACAAGGAGAATTGCTAATTGTGTTCAAAATCTCTTTGACAGAACAACATTTCATGGCAGACACTTCTGTGCCTGGAGCGAGGCACGTTTCCCACTTCCTTGCTGTTGCAGCCAGTTCAAGATACTTAACTCTAACTGACCCTTAACTGCGCTGTCTGTGTGTGTCTAGGTGCTGGAGACATCCTGAGAAACACTGCAGTCATCACTTCTTTTACCTCTCTTCTCTGAATGCCTGCCCCTAAACCACCTGTCTCCTTTTGGGACTTTTTAACTTCTGACAAACTAAGTAGATTCCAAAAGCTTTTGTTCCCAAAGATAAGAACCTTCTTTCCTCAACGCGGAGTTTCCTTCCAAACTACACAGCTCCATGGTGCAGAAAAAGTAACTTTCAGTCTCATATGTACTCATCAGTAGCAGGAGTTAGAAACAGGCTCCTGCTTCTCTGCATCCCGCACAGTCACCTCCACCTCTGGAGCAGCACTGCCCTGATCAGAGAGCATTTTCCGTTGCTCTGCAGGTACACTGGCATGCACAGGAGCCAGGCAGGCCAAAACCAGCAGCTGTGTTTCCTAGTGAGAAATCAGGTGCTCCCTTACCACCCTCAGCCTGCTTGATCTGCAGCGTGGCAACATACACCGGGCCGAGATCCCTAGGGAAGCTGTGAGACATAGCGTGTCCATGCCAGGGCACAGGGGCTTTCCTCTCACCTGCCAAGGACTTGTAACCAAGAAACCTGGCAATCTTTTGCTGGCAGTGCTCCTGCTCTTCATACGTCAGCAGCTGGTAGATAAACTGCCAAATGACTTGCTTGGCTGGTGTGTCCAGCACCGGGTACACATCCACAATAAGAGTGTCAATATTCCTGTAAAATTGGAAAGAGAGGGCTAGGCAATGAGCACATCCTTTGCTACATCATCCCATCACAAAACTCTGCAAGTCTCTTCCACTTCCTTTCCTATCTCTAGCTGTATCTCAGCTGCCAGGCTTACCTCTTAGACTTTGGCATAAATGTACCAAGCCTTTTAAAAGCAGAAATATCAGGTCCCTAGCAAGGGAGTAAGCCCTTTAGGGTAAGGTCTCTGGAAGTGTAGTTCTGCAGATGGTGCTGATGGGGAGAGCAATCTCCCAGTGACTGGCAACACCTGACAGCCAGGCTATAAAAGGCTTGTTCATGAGTCAGCCAGTGTATGGGGAGTAGGAGGGCTGGATGAGGTGACTGGAGAAATGCTGGAGAAACCAATGAGGTGGGCCAGAAAACAGAGTCTGGAGAAGAATAAGATTTGGACAGAAGAATTGCAGGACTGAGCACCTGATAAAGTAAGAAGGTTAAAACAACTGAGAGGATAGTAAGCCTGTCACAGATGGATCTGCTTTCCTGTGAGTTGGGTCTGAGCTGAGGAAAGATGGGTCAGAGAGCTAAAGACAGGCCACTTCCCTATTAGGAAACTGAGGCAGAGATTGGAGGTTACAGCTCATTGGAACTATTGCATCTTTAATGTAGAAATAATGCTAAGGACTTTCTATAAATAGTTGGAAGAAGGTTGATGTTTAGGAACAAATCTGTTACCCTGATATTACTCAAATGGACCATCCCTGCCTTATAAAGAGCAGGGACTAAATGTGTGAGGGAGAACTGAAAGCTGAAGCAGTTCAGATACTGGAATGACTTCTTTGATGCTTGCACTGGTGATGGGGGTCCTCAGAGACCAGCAGGGATGGGGAGTGGAAGGAGCTGTCTAGAACTTCCCAGAATTTCTCCCTTAAGCCATTCTCTAGCTTTGGGCTAACTTACCTTTTCCATGAAGCTTGATGCAGCTCTAGGCTGTCACAAGCCTACTTCCCATTCAGAAAAGTTAATGTATTTTAGAAGAACTGCTGAGGCAGGTGGCTATTCTGTCCTGAACAATAGTTGCTAAGCCTGCCTTGTTAATGGGGCAAGCTGCCTTCCAGGTGAACTGGCTTATAAAATACAAATTGGCTGGAGGGCCAAGAGTAAGAACATGGATGTCCTGACTCCCAGTCTCCTGCATTCACCACTGGGGGAAATGCTTGTTTCTGTATGCTGAGGCTGGAAGTGATATGTAAATTTAGTATTTGGGGATTTTGGTCCTTGTCAGAGCAGTTACGGTTCACAGCTGGCTAGCCTGGGACAGGCAAAAAACTAGGTCATGATATCTTGCTGTGACATGGAGCAGCTGCTGTTGCTTTGAATCATCTGGAGAGCTACAGGCAAAATGAGCTGGGTAGGGGAGAGAATAGGCCTGCCCTGGGACCACTTGGTGAGCTGTTGGTCTCTGCAGCCAAGTGTTCTAGGGCTGGCAGTAGCAACGGTGCCCAGGCAGACTCCCAATTCTGGGGCCAAGCCCTGTGTACAGCTCTGCACAGGGAAGGAAATTGGGAGACTTTATTCTTAGCACTCAGGCTCCATTCTGTCACTGAACATGGGCAAATATCCAATAGATCTGTATTTCCTAATTGCTAATGCTGAGGGCTGGTACAGCACCCTTTAATTACTCAGAAATGCCTGACTGGGGAATCCACATGGACAAAATGTAGCAGCAGGAGAATCCAAAGCAATGAATTCTGCTTTATCAGGGCAAGGTTACTGGGCGTCAAGAGGACTCAGTGATCTGGTGCCAATGGGCAGGGGTGGCTTCCGAAGCCCTAGGGGTGGTACAGCCCTGAGCCCTAGCAACAGTGTGGAGGCAGTCCTAAGGCTTTGTACTTAGTATTTTCTATCATTTCTTAACATCTGTAGCCTAAATACTGGGAGGTTTATTGAATTTCCTTGTAAAAATCTGGAGGTCAAATCATCTGATCTGTATCTATCTGTATACAAGCAATATGCTGCATGAAAGCAGCAGAAGCCTGCCTCAGCAGTACATAGGAGTCCAGTGTTTGGCCTTGGCCTGTGTATCTGCAGCCTGTGGTGGGAACTGGGCTCCTGAGGAGTGGCCAGGCAGCTGGGCTCGGTCAGCTCAGCAGCTGCAGAAAGAGGCAGTGAGCAGCATCTCCCAGTGCCTGGCAGGGATGGCTGTATCACTGTGGTGCAAAAAGGTCAAAGATCAAGGGCAGAAAACAAGGTCGCTATTGAAAATCCTGAGTCTGCCAAAGGATCAGTTTCAACCCTTGCAACAGGGCAGAGAGGATGTCTTCAATTACAGGAAGAGAGCTCTGGCAGCTACAGCCATTCTTGTGCTGCAGCCAAAGGAATGCTTCAGCCAAAATGCTGAAAAGAGCAAGGAGAGAGGAATAAAACATGGTGAGAATTTACTGAAAGAGGCAGAACAGGTTGTGCTGCTCTCATGGGGCTGGCTGGACAGCAAGGGAATCCTGTGTGATGGTGAGATCAAGGTCACTTTAATGTGGGATTAAGTAGTGTCTGAATTGACCTCAGACATTAATGGGACTAACCTGTCCTTGAGCAGGACACCAGGCAAGAATTGGGCTTGTGCCTCATCCCTCAGGGAAAGCGCTATACACTGGAAAATAGACTGAT